TGCCCTGGCGTGCCTCCTCACGATCGCGTGCGCGGCGCGCCATGAGCTCCTCCACCATCGAGTTGGTCGTGGTCTTCTTCTTGTTCGATTTGACGGATTGTTTGGAAGTGCTGGCAGGTGCGGTCGACTGTCTGGAGCTACTGACAGGAGTGCTGGAGCCGGCGATGGTGGGCGTGGCAGGTGTAGAGGACTGGCGCAAGGAGGAGAGTTGGCGAGGTTGTGACTGCGACCGTGACTGTGACTGCGCGAGCTTTTCAGTAAAAGAGGTGACTCTAGAAGGTGTTGGTGTGCCCATAACAGAAACAGTGCTTTGCCGCTGCTGGAATCCCCCAGTTATACGAAGGTGGGCAGTAACCGTGATAAAATACCGCTCAGCGGGCTCCTCAAGCAGGCTGCGCAGCACTCTGGCGGTATCACAAAACCCAAACGGTGTAACTGGGTCATCCTTCTTAGGCAAAACGCGTAGTTGGAATAGCGTCGTGCCTTTCCTGTTCCTGGCTGTCTCCAGTATACCAGCCGACCAGTCTGCGTATTGTACAGAGATGGTGGGATCCATACCCAAGAGCTCGCACTCGTTGCGGGCAGCATCCATGATACCATTCTCGACCTCTCGCACTCGACCCAACAGAGTGAGGCCAAGGGTACCAGAATCGTCATCGGCATTGACGGTGCCATCAGGATCTCTCTCGACGGGGACCCGGTCGTTCGAAACGAGGGTAGGCAGTTTGCCAGGCTTGACCGACAGGCGGTTGAATTGTATATCCGCCACCCACTGAGCATTGTATGTGAATAGGATATTCAGAAAATCTGGAATCGGCGGCGGCGCTGGGGGAACCGAGGCTGACTTGCGCGATTTTCTGGCAACACGAGGGGACCGAGGAGAGGGCGCGGCGCGAGGTGTCACCTTGATGATCTCGACCTCGTCTTGTTGATCTTCTTGTTGGTCTTCTTGCTGTTCATCGTGGTCCTCCTCCTCTGTTATGCCGTTGGCCGTGCTTGCGCTTGCGTTGGAGGCTGATCGAGGACGACGAGGTTGAGGTCGAGGAGGGGGGGCGGTCGAAGAGGAGGGAGCGGGTGCCTTGAGCTTGACCTTCAAGCTAGATGTGGTACGCTGGGTAGGCTGCTTGCCAGCAGTAGTGCTCCTCTTCAATTTGACGGTCGTTTTTTTATTCTTGTTATTATTCTTGAGAACAATGCGGGGGGCTCGAGTAGGCGCTGGTCTTCCTGGGGTCCTCTCGTCATCCCCATCCCCGTCCCCATCGTCTCGCTCCTGTTCTCCTCCGCTTTCAAACTCGGCATTGATCTCTCTTAAGCGGGCGCTGGGCTGTGACAGCCGCCTCGAACGTCGGCGGTTGTCATCGTTGTTGTCGTTGTCGTCGGCGGCGCGTTTTTTGGGAGGCATGGCGGGAGCGGGGGCAGCGGTGCCAGGTGCAAAGCGGACTCTGAATGGACTAGCGGGTTGACTGGGATCCCTCAGTATTGATCTTGAACGACGCGGGGTATCCATACGAGCTCAGAGCAGTAATCAGAATGTAAATACCCTCAGATTTGGTGATAATATGGGAGTTCGAAGGTTTGGGGTTGTCACGTATGAACAGATTTTACGTGTGTGTCTGTAAAGGGGGGTGCCCGTGCAAAGTGGGGACTGACACCTCGTTTTCAACACACAGTGATAAGATAACGCGATAAGATAAGAGCTCTTCCAGCTGCCTCTGAAGTCCCTTGTCCTCCCGTCGCTCTCTGTCGCGCCAACAACCCTTTGACATTTGCAACGACGAACCTCAAGCATCAACGATTTTTTCCTTTGCTTTTTACGCAAAATGTATGATCCATCTTTTCCATTCATGGAGATAATGACAGGGCTATCGAATCAGTTTTCACCACCCTGGGGATGACACTCAAAGTCCCCTCCGGAACCGTAGTCCGTACCTTGATACTCAGCTCTGCCTCCATGTTTCTTGCCTGTGCAATGAGAGAGAGAGCCGAGACTGACGCCACGGTTTGGTCAACTCTCGGCTTGGGCACCAGTCGTTGGTGCTAGAGGCAAGCAGATGGCCAACCAATTTTCCTATGACTGGGAATCCCTCCTCATTTGAATACACAAGTTCTGATTTCAATGTCTTGGCAACCTAATCGTCTGCTCCCCGACATTCCCCTCGTCAAAGAGTACGACATGAAGGCTGGTCTCCTCTATTCTCTGTGGAAGCACGTCGCTTGCTGCCTGAGTCGAGACTATCAAGAAGCCGATCAAGAGACCAACCACAAGGTCGACCAAAAAGTCAGCCAAAATGCCCACGATGGACTCCCGGCCGCCCCAGACCATCACAGCAAGGCCGAGGCTGGGACTGAATTGCCTGTCAGCAGTTCGACAACGTTGTGCCATGTGTGCAACGGCATATTCACCGGTCTTTTGGTTACGGGCGAAGGAAGGAATATGCCTCATCATCCGTCTGTTGCCGCCCTCAAGCGCGCCGCTGAAGAGGGATGCTCTATATGCAAGATGATTGCCCCCAAAATCCCGCCCCGTACTGTGGCTCTCGGAGACTCGGATCTTTCCAAAACTGATCCAATATTTTGGTCTCTAAATTTGTACGGAGGGGAGGATTACAACGATCAACAGAACGGAGGCTACATCGACTACGGAGCTATTGTCATCACACCCAACGAATATGCGTGTTGTTTCAGGTTGCTGGGTACAAGATGTAAGGCTTTCGGACTTTTTCTCGGAAACGACTGTCGACATTTTGAATGCACAGGTGGGCTTAAGTTAACCGTTTTGGAACATAGATTCGAACGCACCAATTGTCCCCCTTCGTCCTGATGCCACCCTCACTGATCACGCAGTGTTGGAAACTGCAAGGTCCTGGCTGCAAAACTGTCGCCAAACCCACGCATTGTGCGGATCAGTTAATCCTACTTTTAACCCTACAAGGCTGATCTACATTCACGACGCTTCCTCGGTACAGCTTATTGAAACCAAAAAGGAGACCGAGACCCATCCTTACGTTGCTTTCTCACATTGTTGGGGGACGTCCAAGCATCTAACACTCCTTCAGGATGACCCAGACACGCAGACAAAAGGCAACATCGAACAACTCCTACTTTCACCCATTCAAGTCGAAACTCTACCTACCAGCTATCGGGAGGGAATCTCCGTCAGCTTAGCCCTCGGATTTCGCCACATTTGGATCGATTCACTATGCATCATTCAAAACAGCCGTGAGGACTGGGCCAGAGAGGCCGCCATGATGAAAGACGTCTATGCCAACGGTTCGCTCAATCTCTGCGCCTCTGCTGCGGCGGACTCCTCGGAAGCAAGCTTCCAGCACAGGACATCAAGTGTGATTGCGCCGTTGGACATCGAACCCCGGTGGACAGGCATTCTCGACGGCGAATACCAGAAGGGTAAAATTCGTCCACTCCCATCATACCTTCGTCATGTCAAGTTCAAGCTCGTAAATGCCAGCATGTACCAAACCGACATGCGAGACGCACCGCTCAATCTGCGCGCTTGGGTTGTTCAAGAACGATATCTATCAAAACGCCATCTCTACATGACTTGCAATCAGCTTTGGTGGGAATGCCACGATATCTTGGCGTGCGAAGTCCTTCCGGCAGGCGTGCCTAATTGCTTTGACTACTGGAGCCCCGAAACAGACGAAGACGAGAGAACCCGGTTCTTTACGTTAAGCACTCGTAGCCATCATACCGCCCGCGACAAAACGCTGCTGGAGGGCGATCCGGCAGATCAGACAGAACATGCCAAAGAAACGCTTTCCCTACCTACACAACAACAGGACCGCCAGTCAAATCAGGAAGTCATGTATGCGCTGTGGGAAACCCTCGTCGAGCGATACACCCGGTGCAAGATTACCTACCCATCTGATAAGCTGCCTGCTCTATCCGGGCTCGCACAGGCCTTCAGCATCGCGCAAGGGTCAGAGTTCGCTCTTGATGCAAACTCCTATCTTGCCGGCCTTTGGCGACCCTTCCTACCAAGAGCTTTATGCTGGGCCGTGACTGAGGATTACCAGACCTACCCTTGCGACCAATACCGCGCTCCCTCCTGGTCTTGGACGTCAGGCGAGGGCATGATCAATTTTCCCGAGTTGGACCCCGAGGCCGAGGCAGCCTGCCGTGTTTTGGACGTGAACATGGCATACGAGGACGAACGATACAAAGCCGGCGCGGTGAAAGGTGGTATCTTGCACCTGAGGTGTCATGTCGTCGAGGTTCTCCCCCCTTTCGACCCCGACCCGGAGGGGTTCGTTTTGACGACGGCCACTTTGATAAGTCCGCACCTGGAAGCCCGTGCGGCGGAGGCTGTCAAGGGTGCAGAGCTTTTCTGGGATCTGTACGATCGGCAATCTGGGAGGTTCGCCATCGGTTACTTTGATCAGCTTCCGCATGCTGTGCGCAGCGACGGGATCGTAAAGGGCACCGGCGCGGTGCGGAAGGAGGTCTGGCTCGACGCTTTGATGGAGGAGGAGGAGCCTCGCGTTCGGGTATCTCTTGTTCCTGTCATGGTTACACCGGGGAAGGAGACTCTCGGGTTGGTTCTCTGTCAAGTTGTCAACAACGACGCAGGACTCGAGGGTTTGGATGGGGAGGCGGTCTTTCAGCGTGTGGGTTATTTCTTGGGTCGGTCTTTGGAAAAGGAAGTGCTAGATCTCATTCCGGAGAGGACGATCGCGATTGTATAAGCACCCACGTAGGATTGCATTCTGCACTTCGTTAGGACATTATATAGTATTAGCAATAGCGGGCAATTATTTGTTGAAAGTTTGCGATATGATAGATTTGGTCCGCAATGACATATTGACATATTGAGGTCCAAACAATTTTACAACGACGACAAACGAAACCCCCCGAAACAACAAACAGGGAAAGAGAGAAGAAAAAAAAAGCGGGAAACGTTTATAAGATTATAAAAAGTCAACACTGAACAAAATGGAATTGAAGTGGAAAAGGAAAATTTGCAAAAAAAAGCAAAAGAGAAACGACGCGAGCAGGATTTGAACCTGCGCCTCCGAAGAGATTTGATTGCGTCTCGAAGCTAGTTCGAGTCAAACACCTTAGGCCACTCGGTCATCGCGCCCTCGACTTGTTGTTGAATACTGTTCGCAATTGAAAGCTTATATGTGCCACAAACAGCTTCCAGGACCAGGCTTTTGGTAATACCCGCACCATTTCGGTCCTTTTGGTAAACGACTCCGCATCACCACTCTCCACATTTTCCCTCTTCCACCGACCACATCGCGGATACGGACACAACCACTACATTTTGTCGCACTTTTCGCAAACAATTAATTTGTCACCGAATGCTAACCTAGGTTAATTGCAGAGGCTACCATCCAAATGCTGGTCACATGCGCGATGACTGCACGCAAAATCGTGCATCTCAATTGAGACAGTTGGAGGATCATCACGAACAGCTAGCTGGCAGACAGCGAGCAGAGACACCGACATCTACACTAGCGAACTACAACCAGACAATGTGGCCGCACAATGGCCGAATGGCCTAGACTCAAGCTGTTTCAACCCGATATAGCATCGTCAAAGTGTAATCGTTCACAAGTTTACGGGAACCGAATGATTACGAGGTGGTTTGAATTCTCTACCGATCTTCTACCGGATTCCTCCCCTACCCTTGATATATTCCTTCGTGATTTAATTACTTCCTGATTTAATTCCTTCCCGATTTAATTCCTTCCAGCATTGTACTGTCTTACCATTTGTTCATTCCATCTTTCTTCTTGGGAACTTCCTCTCCCATTCCCGTTCCCACCCCTTCAAAGTGTGTCGAGATATCAGACGGGATTTAGATGGCGGGCCAGTTGATCTGGTAATCGCTCACCAGACCACCACTCCTCTTCTTAATCTCGTTCACCTCACCCACGCTCAAGTTACCACCAAACCTAGCGCCATCGCTACGTCCAAGCACCTTGACACTGACACGTCCACCATCGCTACCATCCATAAACATCGCAACCTTGATCGGACCGTCGCTCGGACGCTTAAACCAGTTAGGATCACCAAAACCCAGCGGGTTCAAGTGGAACGTCGAAAGGGCTTTCTCGTCGCGGCTGTTGACCACCTCAAAAATGTCAAACTCGCCGCAGCCGTAATCCCAGCAGTTGCACTTTCCGTACTGCTGCGTGTAGGGAATGCGCGCGTTGAGTAGCCAAATGGCGGGCTTGTCGGCCGTGTCCTTTCCGTCGGGGGTCTTGGGGGGAGAGTGCGGCATGCTGAACTCGAAGAGGAACATGCGGTTGGGTCCGGGAAAGCCCTTGCGGGAGGAGGCGCCGGGGCGGATGTAACCGCATGAGCCGTCGGAACAGGACTGATCGGTGAAGATGGAGAAGTCGGCGGAGTCTGAGACGGTGGTGTCGGCGAGGATGGTGGGGCCTGAGGCGCCGCCGTCGCCGCGGGAGTTCACGAACGAGAGAGAGTTGCCGAAGGCGCTGGGAGGGTGTGTGTTAGTGATGTGTTGTGGGAAGGGAGGATGATGAGGGTTGGGTTGGGTTGGACTTACTTGGTGAAAACACCGGAACCGCCACCGCCGAAGTTACCCATGAAGGTAATGCCTTCGGCGGTCTGGGACTGAGCATGATAGAAGCCTTTACGACCGTAAGAGCCGTCACCATTGGGTTGGTAGAAGGCCACCTGCTTCAGGTGGAGGGGACCGTGAAAGTGGAGCGAGACCTAGAGGGTGAAATGTCAGTGACGTGATGGCTTCGTGTGGGAATGGTTAAGAGGTGGACGGGAAACTGACAGGCTCATTGAAAGGAGCGAGCTCGCCGCTGAAAGCCCGAGTGGTCTTGTCACAGCGACCAGAATCGTTGTCCATGAAGGAAATGGCCTCGTAGGTGCCACTGCCCCTGCCCGAGACCTTGGTGTAGAGAACTTGGTCGACCTGGACACAGAAATGGGTACCGTTCTCGTCGGTACTACCTCCCTTGCAAAGGTCGCCGCTGTCAGTCTGCGTGCGGAACGGATCGGCATCAGGAGACACCGTATGAGGGTTGTTCGAAGCGGCATCGGGGCCGGCGTGGGCGCGGGCAACAAGACCAGAGACGGTGGTGTTGAAGCCGGCGGTAGCAATCGCGGCGGCGTTGGCGGCGCCAACGATGGCGACCGAGGCCAAGATGACTTTCTTCAGGTTGAAAATCATCGTGTAGGAGTTGCTTGATACCCAGAAGTTCGCTTTTCGTTTCGCTGAGGTTGAGTGGAAAGCTATTTCCCGGATGCTGACGAGGATTCGAAAAGGAAGAATTTGCTGGTAGGAAGGGGGTTGTTTTATACTACTCCTGGGAAATTCCCAGAGCTCCACCGGGAATCCGTCGACGCATTCACACACCCATCGCCAGCCGCTAAGAGGACAAGTGAAGGTATCTTCAACCGCGCTAGCGGCTTACAATTCACTTTCTCAAGGTGTTTTGGGACCGCTGTGGGGCGGGAAACGCAAGTGACTTGGGCATGCTAGTCGAAGGTTCAGGATCTCGTCCCGCAACCTTCAAGCCAAGCTGTCGTCGAGTGTTCTGGATCAAACGGGAGTGGTGGTGAAGCGGCTCTTGGGTGCGAACGTGAAGGAGGCGCCAGGATCCCGTCCCCCAGAAGCAGAACGGCATCGAGTGAATGGATGAAGTAGAAAAAATTCGAAGCGCGTCCAGGCGGAGCTGCCGCTCGGCTTGCTCACCGGCACGGGAAATTTAATGGGCTCCATTCACTGGCCAAGAATGCCAGCGGAAGCCGGGGAAGCTTCAGCATGGATCCTCATGTTTGCTGCCACGGAAAATCCCATTGCTGTAGCCAGCGAGTGAGGACTATCTGTGGTAAAGCCCAGCTAGGGTAGAACGAACTTCCCGGGTCGTTGGAATGGAATGATTATCTGACTGGAACGGCTTATCTGCTGCTTTATGGTCTCCGTGATTGTAGCCTTAATAGACCCATGACAGCAGCGTGAGCCTTCGGTCAACACACGCAAGACTTGGGCAAAAGTCTAGTTTTACGCGCGGACAGTAATGATTGACAACGGCCTCGTGAAAGTGACCTATACGTACAAGCTTGGACGATCATGGCCAAGCAATAGGTCATTGTGAAGAGTCCAGAGATGGACGCTCGCACAGCCAGCATTGTCAAAGACAATGAGATTCAACAAACTCGAGGGTCCAGTTTAGCGAGGGAACTCAATAAGTCCAGAACGATTTATGATATGCAAGTGTCCAAGGGCATGGCTCGTAATGTGGTGAGGGGGAAGAAAATAGCTTCATAGCTGACGCCTACGGTGTACTACCACATGCTCGATAAAAGAGTCTTGGACGTTATTAAGAGGGAGCCGCAGTCAGAATTGAGGGTTCGAATCTAATTTTGACATAGAAAACTTCCTCGTTCATAGCAGAGATGCGAATGTTGCTGTTGCAGAAGTTAGGTATGAAGGATGGCACCTCAGTACTTCGTCTGCACAGGAAGAAGGTCTGGTCAAGAGAGTACCTTCCGCTATGCATGTTCCTGATGACAGAGAACTGACGATATGGGAATGCGTTAAGGAAAGAAATGAAAGCAAGAAACTCTTGCTTTGGAAATGTGCAAGTTGGAGTGTTGTGATTAGGAAGCAAAAAAGGGAAGAAGTGTCGGCCGCTGCGAGAGCTCGGCAGACGCATGTCAACATCCATGCATGCAGTTCTCACCCGAGAGAAATGTTGAAGAAAGAGAATTGCACGATGCGGGTTATGTGCGAGTCAAAGCAACAAATGATACCATCACATGCATCTAAACAAATCGTGTATTTCAAGGGAAGTGCCATTTGAATATTCTTCCTACGCCGGCTATCTCAAAACCCTCTCGAACGTTTATGATAACTATTGTTACACCCTTCTTCCTTCCCTTGAATTCCTTGACATACCCCCCTGCCATTTCCCGCCATGTCCCTCAGTGTCCCCCTAATGGTTGGGATACACATACTCGGAGACCAAGCCAGACTTGGCCTTCAGACCCTCGACCTGGCTGGCGGAAAGAGAGCCGCCGAAACGAGCACCATCGCTGGCGCCCATGTTCTTGATGGACACAGTACCGCCACTGGTAGCGTCCATCACGAGCGACAGCCAACTTGATCGGGCCACCAGTAGGGCGCTGGAGCCAGTTGGCATCGCCAGCCGACTTGCCTTCGCCGCCCAGATGGAAGGCCGATAGGGCCTTGACCTGGCCAGGATAAAGGATCTTGAAGAGATCCAGCTCGCCGCATTCAAAGTTCCAGCAGTTACACTTGTAATATTGGGCCGTGTTAGGGATGCGCGAGTTCAGGAGCCAGATGGCAGGCTCTTGGACTAGAGGGAACAAAAGTGCGTTGTTGTTGCTAGAACTAAGAACGAAAGAACAAATCCCGTTGAGGGCTAAAAATACATGGTGGTGCGGGCAAGGCCCACAAAACAGGGCATGCCAGTGAATGGCGATGCTGGTGAATGGAGGTGAGGCCATGGCCCCACCACAACACAGGCTTGTTTCCGTTCGTGCCGTCTTTGTTATGCTGGGGCTCATCCGGCATGGAGAACTCGAACGAGAACACGCGAGCGGATCCGGGGAAACCCTTTGTGGACGGGAGTGGTTAGCAACTGGACTTCATGAATGTTCGAAGCGAGAAAGGAGGTGACGATGCCACTTACTGTAGGTGATGGCTCCGGGACGACGATAGCCGCAAGAATCATCGCACATCTGGTCGGTGGTAGCGATAAACTCGGCGGCGCCGGTGAAGAGTTGGTGGAGATTGGGGATGTAGGTTTTGATCGTTGGGATATATAAGTATGGCGATATGTTCACAGCAGACATCATTTACAAGTCGGTAGGCATGTAAGTGTTTCAAGAAGACGAAGTAAGCAAGCTAATGTATCATAGTGATTTTATAGGAAAGTAATACCGAGTCTATCATGAAGGCGAAAAGGGTATCCCGAGCAGAAACAATGACGAAAACTCCCAACACCGCGACTCATATCTATCAGTGCCCCTCACAGGACACTCTTCCCAAATTCAGAAGATCCAGTCCTGCGCCCACCGGATCTTTTTACCCTTGTCAACTCATATTTACCTAAACCTCGTGGTTCT